GAGTTGTCTCCCAGTGTGTACACAGCCCTTCTGTTCTCCCATGATTATCTTCTCCAAGGAGTGCATCTATCTAGTGTAAGTGTTCCCCTCACTGATATGCTGAACCTTTTGAATGCCCCTAGTCAGGGCTACCTGAGCCTCCTGCCGCCCGTGAGGCTCGTTTTCCTGTGATTGCAGATCATCTGCAGAATGGCTTCCATGCTGAGCAAGAGCACCGTCGTGCGTCTGCTGCTGCCCCGCTTCTGTGAACTGTGTGGCGATGGGAAGCTCTTCCAAGTGCGCAAGGTTAGAACACATGGCTTCAAACTACGTTAGAAGAAAGGAAGTTAAAAGTCAGCTCCTCTAAGGTTTCTTTAGCAGAAACAGGCTGGAGGGAGCAAGGTGGCCTGGGTGAACTGTGGTAGGAAAATGTCTGGACATGTCCCCCTTTTTCACTGTGCTCAGGAGAGTGTCTCTGCACGTGACCTGCAAAGTCTCGTTAGCTGGGGTGAATTGCTCCAGAGCCTCTGTTGTCTTTGCAGTCCCTTCTGGTCACTGGTCACTCACTATTGAGCTCTTCCTTTCAAAGGGCATTGCCATCTCTCCCTAGCAGCTTCATCTCCCACCTTGCTCCTTGTGGCTTAACTGCCCGACATCACCTGGTATCTGTCTCCTCATGACTCATAAGCAAGACGATTGATCTTGCTTACCACCCAGAGAGCCTTAAGGGTCTCTTTCGTCCTGTTGCTAAGTAAATGCACTATGCAGCAAGATCAATTTGAAGAAAGAAGGCCCTAGAATCTGGTTGCCCTCTTGTAAATCTTGTTTTAGATGCACCAGCGGCACCTGGCACGGTGCCGTGTGGGCGATGGGCACACAAGGGCTTGTTAGCAGCCCAACTGCGAGTTAGTGGTGTAACTGCTGTCCTGCTGCTTGCCCATTAGTCTTTGCAATTTGGTAAGACAGAAAGCTAAGACTAATGGGTATGCCTTTTGCCTTTGAAGGTGTGTGCAACCAATTTTGGTGATATTTGTCATGCCGTTGGACAAGAGGCCACCGAGAAGTTCTTGGTACGTGAAGTTTCACCAGTGGTAATTGCTGATTCACCTCTTAGCGCACCTTCAAAATCAATTGTCATGTTTTGCATTTCTGATCTGTTCTTTTGAAAGGCCAGCTCAATTTATTGATTCATCCAACTCAGTTTCATGACTCCTGAAGTTAATGTGTCATTACGTAGTGGTCTGGAGAGTGGAAATTTTCCTGTGCTCCTTGGCTGTTCCTTGTCACTGGCCGCTCTCGCCGAGTCTCTTTTCATGGTCTAGGTCATGCTCCCTAGCCCCTCTCGACTGCTCTTTCTGGAGTCTGCTCTCCCCCCTTACTCCAGGGCTTCAGATCACTGGCATTTTTCCTCAATCTGGAGAT